ACTTGTTGTCCTAGGATTGGTGCACTTATTGGCATGGATGGTTGACAAGTGTGGGGTTAATATTTAATCTTGGAAGCTTACTTGGATTCATGACAAGTGTAGGACTCACCTTTAGTCTTGCATTAGTGTGTGTGTGAGAGGTAGTGCAAGGGCACCTAGTGAGTGGAGAAGCCCACCAATTTAGCTTAGGGTTTACACATTTTAATTCATTCATCACTTTCCTCTCAAGAACCCTAAGGAAGCCACCATTGGAGAAAAGCTTGACTAGTAGCTTTGACTTCATTTTTGGTGCCCTTTCACTCACCTTAGAACATTGAACTTGGAATACTTTAGGCTCCTCCCACTCTCCTCTTCAAAACCCTTGAAGGATCTAGCCTAACTCCTAGTTTTACTTTGGTATCTAGAGATTCAATTCTCTAGTGAGGTATTGATCTATTATTTTGAAGTATTTTTATGTCATTATTGAGTGTTTTATACGCATGGAATAGAAGGACCTGTATTTTGCCCTTAAACTGTTTTAACTTGAAATTAATCTTGTTAAATTAAATATAGAATATCAAAATATACTCAATTAGCTTTCATTTAGTTTTCATTTCATGTAATTTGAATTTAAAATGAATTAGTTATGAATTTTTGAAGTTGCAAGCTAGTTGTTGGAAATTTGAAGCTTTTCCTTTTCTGTCTAGAAATAAAATTTTTATATGGATCTGTGGTGCTTCAATTGCCTTAAAATTTTTACTGGAACTTCCCCCATGGGTTTTACACTACTTAGAATTTTTACACAATTTTAGAGCATTTCTAAATTTTTTTAAAAATCCGAAACTATCTGCTGTCCATGTTTTTATTGCAGCTGGAAAACATACTTTTAGATGATATATTTCACTAACCTTTTAACATTGGATCATGGCTTAAATTTCCAGTTCCACACTCTCATATGTTTACTTCCAAAAATAAATTATGTTTGCCCAATTTGGATGTCAAATGAATTTTTCATGAATTTTCAAAGTTGGAAGCTACAGGCTGAAAATGTGTTTTCTGGGCAGAATTTGTTTCAAAGTTGTGGTTCAAAACTGTTTCAATTGGGAAAATATTTTTGTTAAACTAAATTGATATTATCAAATTACAGTGTTTAAGCTTTCTTTGGGCCTTGGATTCATTCAATTTGGGATAGAATTGAATTTTTTATGAATTTTACAAGTTGAAGGTAGCAAGCTGAAAAATCTGTTTTGCGGACCAAAAATTTGGGGCGATTTCATTTCGGTGGTAATTGGGATTTTCATTCCAATTGAGGTAGGGAATGTTTTAGGATTAATTGTGTGTTATATTGTATGTTTGCCATGATTATACAACATATATGTACGCCTTGTATCAAATCTAGAAAGTTAGTAATTTTTATTTCTTTGTATAAGATTTAAAATTTATGATGATGTATAACTTTGATTTGAATTGTAACATGCTAGGAAATTATGCTTAGATATGTTGGTTAACATATATTAAATTTGGATCATTTGATTAAGAATTATAACTTTTATTTAATATTTATCTTTAGTGAAAGTTTAATTCACATGGTTGTATCAAGCATTAAATCAAGTTGTAATATGGTATTTAAATAGGCCTTGGCATGTTCTCTAACAAAGATTAAATTGAGGGCATTTGGAATTGTTTAAAAATCTAGAGGAAATTAATTAATTAGCTTGATAATTTTATTTCAAGTGTTTTAATCACTTAAATTATCATTTGATGTTATATATATGATGATCATGACATGTCTTTCAATATATATTAAATTGAGGTTATTTGGATTAACTTGGAATTTAGAGAATTTAACAATTTATGTTTAATTAAATTCTACTTTATTACTCTATGGATTTAATTGCATTTTGGAAGTTGTTTCTATATTTAAATCATGGATTTGGATTTGAAGTATGTTCACTTGATTACTTTTGAGCATTGGATAACATAGTTGTTACTTTTATATTCATGAGAATATGTTTTTCCTTATTGAATATATTGTTGCTATGTGTAAGGAATTGCACACTTTGTATTTGACATCTTACATGCCATAGTACTTGTGAATTTTGAGCATGTATTGTATAAGTTTCCAAAATTTGGATTGTGCTTGATAAATAGTTGATATCTTGTATATACATGTTGATATATATACGTTGTTGCACAATTTGTTGATTTTGGAAACTTGGGGATGTCATTATTTGGCTACGGCTAGGACTTGGTTCTAGTACGGGGGATTGTCCCTCTATACAGTCTAGTGCGCACATAGGGAGGTTACCCATAGGCTAGTAACCCTAAAGTAACTATGTTGTCGGTCCGATACGGCGTGACGTCCGAGTATCCACTTTGTTTGATTTTGTATTTCATTTCAAGTTGATAACTAGATGATATCGTAACTTGTTGTTCCTTATTTTATTTCCTATTTTGAGCTTAAGATGTAGCTTTGTGAAAGCACGCTTCATGTGTTGTATTGGAAGTTCCATTGTTGGTTAAATTGCATCGATATCATAATTTGTGTTTTGATGTTCAAATGTAGTTTAGGAATGACCTTATAGATTTATTTTGAACATAGATGTTAGGTGGCATGACCCACACTTGAAGACTTTGAGAATCTATATCTTGTTGCCTTATATAACATGTTTCCATGGTGTTTGAATTGCGTGAACAATGTGATTATGATAGAAATGATCTAGGTAGCTTAGGATGCTCCGTGGGTCTCATCTTGACATTGACGTTAGGTGGCATCAGCCCCTTTAACATTTTTCACCATAAGGTGATAAAATTGTAAAAAGCTAGATCGATGCATGCTCATCTCCTACGAGTAGCTTTATGTTACTCACCCCTACCATACTGGGGCATATTTCAGGTACAGGACTCAGGATTTGAAGATTCCATTGCTCCTTGGATGGCTTACAGTTTCTATGTTTTTATTTTATGCAAGTGTTAGCATAAGATGCCTCTTTGTAGCCTTATTTGTTTAAACTTGTATTCGTTGATTCGTATATGTAAAGTATACGTAAGTGCACTCTTTTCAATATATTTAACATGTATGAGATGAGGCCGGAGGCCAATGTCATGTATCTCGTTTTCTATGCACTTTTGTTTTCAAAGTTTATTATGAAAATATTAGAAAATGTTAAGTCATTGCTTCATAACTTTCAATGGTCATTTTATTTAGTCACGCCTTCTAACCATTGGGTTAGTTTGTGATCAAGAGGTTCCGTTAACCTTAATCATGTCTCGATTTCGATCACCAATTTCTTCTCGATCGTCGTGAATCCCAGCCATGGTTAAAAATAAAATTCTTTCTTAATCATAGCCGAGACTGGCCATGGTTAGAAGAACTAAATACCATGATAAAGAATTCAGGGCATGGGGTTAGATTTGAGAAGATAAGGGTTTGTGATTTCTAATCCACTACCTTCCCATTTTTTATTTATTATTTATCACAAGTTGGTCTAAGGACTCGTCTGCCATCATGGTCGAGTATCTCCACCAAATCTTTAATATACTTGACCATCCTCGATCAATAGTCAGTATATTGGTCATGATTTACTTTGGTCTCAACATGAACCGTTTTTGTGCTTGTCCATCAAGATCTTGAAGGTCTTGACTTTTAGCTACCGAATCACGTTTTAATATAATTTTGATCACAATTTGAGCTTTAATTAACAGATTCCAAAAAGGAAGCAGTACGTATTGAATACAATTAAGTAGCTCCTCTTAATATATATATTTATTTTTGTGGGTGAAATTTTAGCAAGACGGTAAGAATTTTTCCAAAAAAAGGAAGATGGTAAGAAAAAGATATACATATAGAATATTTTAATTACAATTTACGACCCAATGATTGTGTAATGTTATCATATATAAGAAGCTATCTACAAAATAAGAAGCTATCTACAAAATCTCAGCCGACATGCTTTGTGTGGTTAGCTGGGCCCGACAACAGATGCTCCACGTGAGTACTGTGAAACAAAATCTACCTTTAAGTACATGTTTATTTGATTGAAAGGCACGTAGTGCTTTCTCTCTCAGGTTCCATTCACCATACTTGTGCATTATTGATTCAGTAAACATCTTTTCAATCTCTTCATTGTATTCCTTCTCACCCTCCGGTCTTTATCCTCTCGACGGTGATTTATTTATTTTTTATATTTTTTTTGGTTAGTTTCTGAACTCATTTGTACAGGTCCCTCGAAAATCACTTCAGACTACAAACCGGAAATGCTTTCAACGGACTCACACTTCAGTAACAATTTCAATCAAGAATTATAGTGACGATGGACAGGTTCGAACCTGAGACCTAAGGTAGTCCAGGTCGTGACCTTACCATCAGCCCTTTATCCTCTCCTTGGTGATTGTTCTTTTCTTTTGAAATTACACTTTCATGGGATTGATTGTCTATCTTGTGGCTTTATATGTGTAATGGAATGAGAGATCTTAATGGAACTATATATTTAATTTATTGGAATGTACAATACAAACACTTACACTTGGGAATGTCCTCTTCTAAAGTTTGAAAAATACATGAATTTAGTGGAAAGTAAACACACATGTTTATTAAAATTTGCTGGGTTGACTCTTGATTGGGCATTCCTCTGGCTGTACATTGGCAGTGGATTTGGCTTTTGAGATTTTATATATGGCCACTATGACTTGCTTTGTGGTTTCTTGACTCAGCTAAGTTAGTGAGAAGTCTGTCAAGTTATTAGTCCTTGGTTTTTCGTTCTATTATAGGTCCTTCAAAAATGGAGCACCGAACTGAAAATTGAATGCAATGCAGCCGTTGAATGTATTAATGTGGGGCCCATTTGGAACTCGATCCTCCATTTTATTTGGAGAACAAATCATTAGTAAATTAAGTTCAATAAAATTTTAATTTTTGGCAGTACTATAGTTTAATTTATTTAATTTCTAGCCTATATTTTGTGCTACTGTATCATTTGTCAATTAACTTGCTGAATTTCTCAAGCGGCACCAATCTTTTGGGGAAGGTAAAATAAGAAAACAATGCAATATATCAACAATTCAAGACTTATATACAATTTGAGAAGTGCGACACTATATCTAGAGAAGACTGGGGTAATAAGCAAGACACGTACAAATTAAGCTCAACCCCATTGAGTATATTACACGATGAACAAAAAATAAAATAAAATAAAATAATATAAAATTAGCTAACACCCCTATAGTTGCGTATCAAACCTTCAGGTTCTAGTGGGGCAATGCTTACTATTGTCTCCTGTGGTGGGGGTGGTGGCGGCGGTGGTGGCAGTGATGAGCTAGCTTGGCTACATCGGACGATCTTCTGGCATGTCTCGATGAGGCAGTTCCTGCAAGTAGGGCAGGAGGAATGGGAATTGAGCCACTTATCGATGCAGCGAACATGGAAGCCATGGTGGCACTTGGGAAGCACTCGTACACGATCACCGTGTGTGAACTCGGATAGACAGATCACACACTCGGTGTCCAGGCCTGACGGATTCAACCCATCAGAATAATTCAGCGTGGGAAACGTCTTGAGAGCCTTTTTCTTGATGCCTGTATTGGCTAACCTAGTTGAAGGGTTGTTTCGAGTGTCGGAAGCTACTAAACTTGAGCACCTTAAGGCACATCTAATGATGGAATTCAATCCCAGTGAGCATATTAGGGCACACAAAAGGACTGAGAGGACCATTACAACATTTGAATCGAATGAATTGTCTCCCGCGTAGGGTTGTGATGGATCATGGCTGTTTACAGTTGCAGGAGGGGATGCTGTAGTTGGTGATTGAAGAAGAGGAGTGTGTAGTAGCATTCTTCTCGAGTAGAAGTGTTCTGCAAAGTCTTGGAAGAGCAGAGTGGAAGAGGAGGAAGAAGTAGAGGCAGACATATTGAGAGGTTTGTTGAGTTTGTTGATAGAACTCCTAGGAGTTGGTTGCACAAGGGGTTATATAGAGGGAAAAGTTGAAGTTAGTTGAGTTTGCTTTTTGATTTTGATTTTATATAATATGTGTGTGTGTGTGTGAATATGAAAATAAAAAGGAATATATATATATATATAAACCAATAAAACTAACCCAAGTTGGGAATCGAAGGTATGCTAGCCGATGCATTGTATGAGTGAGAGACCCAGTAGGGTTTCATAGTCGTATATCTCATGGCTGATACAACTTCAGTTTTCAACTTCACTAGGGTTTGTAGCACTTTCTCTTTTTCGAAAAGTTAAAGTAAACGCAAGAAGACTCACTGTAATTTTCACAATCAATAAAAAGAAAGGACATACCATTTGAGTTAATTTTTATAACGGGTTAGAGTTCTAGCATTGTTTTACTTCATTCCCCAAAAAATATAATAAGATGGATGGGAAGTTCGCCCATTATTTTTGGAGGGAATTATTATAAGTCATCATAATATCTTGAGAATATTCTGAGGGTCTTGTAATTTATCATTTTCCCACACCATTTGGATCCTCCACTAATCATTTTTTGCTGAGTTTAATGGGCTTTCCAATCAACATGGACCCATCCCACTTTCTGCGCAGAAAAATAATGCCACGTGGCAGCTATCTCTCATGAGTCATAATCTCAAATATGTATCCTAGGATCCCACTTTGCCCAAGAACTAATGAGGGTTCTAGGATGACAAGGAAAATAATGATCTCAATTACAAGTCTAGGATCCCACTTGCACATTAACTATGAAGGTTTCAGGAAGCTTCCCCATCTAGGGTGACATGGAAAATTATTTTCTCAAATAAAATCATCAATTTACTCCTCAATTTTAATGTCTGAAATATTAATTTTATAATTGGTAAATTTCAGTGACAAATCATGTTAGAAAAATGTATGTTGGTAAAGACACTTAATTTTTCATCTTTGGTGCGATTTAGGTTTATGCACTAAAGAAAATTTCCACCGATCATTTTTACAACCTGCTTATTCAGAATTGGTTGCGGTCCTTATTTTTCAAAATTTATTTTTGAAAGATTTGAAATTGTCAAAACGGAACCGGTTGAGCTTCATGTAACCGGTTGCGATGGACGTTGATTTCGAAATTCACTTTTGATGAATTACACTGTGGTTAAGCATAATTGATTGCGTTAAATCAGAACCGGTTATGTACGTTATCCTGGAACCAATTAATATGGTAATTGCAATTTTTATTCTAACTGGGTTTCTTTTTTATCAAATTTTAAGAAGTTATTTTTGTAAGAATTTAACTTGATTTTCAAGTATTTTTAGGTCTTCCTAACATCTATATAATCTCTCTTTTACTCATAAATTTTCATGGCCTTTTAGCAACAGATGCATCTGTTTCTTCAGCAAAAACATGTGCCTCAAATCGCTCAAGTGCTGATTGAGAAGAACTTCAATCAACCACGATAAATCACGAATCAGCTTAGGCTCAATATTTGCCATAGGTGATTCCTCAACAGTAGTATACGCCTAAGCCCAACCGAGCAAAACGTGAATCAAAAGCCAGTATTAAATCAAGTAATTAGCATGTCCAGTGGAGGCCTCCTAACCCATACATTCACATTGGTCATTATCGTTTGCTTCACTATTCAATGTGAAAAGATTAGAGCAAGTGTGTTCCTCAAAATGAGCCTTTTTGTTTACTCTGCTATAGTGGCCATTTTTTTTCATACTATAAGTCTTTCACCGAACTTAAATCTTAACGTGGAAGCAACTTTTGAAGAGACATTCCATACTCAGTTAAACCGAACTAAGTCAGAGATCTCATTTGCAGATTTAAATAAAGCTCTACCAATTTCTTGGAGAATCAGCAAAGGACATGTCCCTTTTTATTTTTTATTTTATTTTTTTGTCATTTTTTGGTCTCACGTCAATCGGGATCGGGCCAGGTCAAGTATTCGGGAATTTATTTTTCAACACTTTGCATTTATTATTTTGGAGATATATTAGATACATATATTTCATTTGGGACACATTCGCCATCATATTTTATTTTGGGGCATTTATGCAATTATCTTTTGAAATATTTTTATTTGGGGCATTTGTGCTATTATCTTGTAATACCCTAATTTTAAGAGGTTTTATTTATTTAAATTAATGTACTTTATTTGAATTATTTGGTTATTTAATTAATTATTTTTGTGAATTGTGTGGCTAATTGTTATTTAAATTGTTTATTATGTTAATTATGTGATTGTTAGTTTGTTACTTCAATTAATTATTTATTTGCTTGTGAATTGATTAAATTGCCATTAGTTGATTAATTGTCAATTTGAGTGATTAATTATTTGTTTAAATGACTAGTTGTTTGTTAATTCATTTATCTATATGTTCTATTTAATTTAAATGCTATGGATTGGGCTTCAGTATCTTGGGCCTAATATTTGGTTCTAGAGATTAGTGAGAAGGCCTAGTGGGATGTTGTAGGTTTAAGGCCCATGGGAATGTAGTGTGTATATATATATTAATGCATATAATTATATTTTTATTATCTGTGTCATACATGTTTATTATTATTATTATTATTATTATTATCATTATCATTATTATTGTTTTTATTTAGTCAGTCAAGCTTAGGTTAGGATTATCTGGGTATATATGTATATGTATGTATTACAAAATGAGGGTTTTATGTGAGTTAGAGCAGGGTTTTATGTGAGTTAGAGCAGAGGCAAAGGAGAGAGAGAGAGAGAGAGAGAGAGAGAGAGAGAGACATGGGTGAGAAAGAAAGAAGAAGAGGGAGGTCGAACCCAGGAATGGAATTAAGGAAGGTGACCAGAGAAGAGGAACGAAGGCACACACTACTGTTGGAATTGCAAAAGAAGACCGTAAAGCTTACGGTTTGATTTTCGATCCAAAAATCATTAGGCGAGTTCTTTTCTACTCTTTCCCTTATAACTCATAAACTCTGCACCATATGCTAGGGATTTAGGGAATTAATTCACAAGATTAAAACTGGTTTTTGCTGCAGCCATGTGTGATTGGGAAGTTTAAACTGATATGCATATTTTTACATAACTGTATGTATTAATTAATCATGTGAATTATTGATTTTAATCTCTATTTTAATTGTTAAAGCATGTGAATATATATTATATAAATTATGGGGATCCTTTGGAACATAGACACATACATTGGGTCCCAAAACATTAAAGTTGTAGAGCTGGAAACCGAAATCGAGAAAGAGGAAGAAACAGGTTTCGGTCAACCGAAACAGGGCTACACATCGACCGGTTTAGCCAATTCGGTAGACCAATTAGGGTTACACGTCAACTGTTTTGGGCAACTCGATCGACCGATAGGGGTTATGCATTAACCTAAACTCCCTGTTACTGGATTGTCTGATTTTGTTTAAAATTTACCCATAATTAGTTTACCACTTAGTGATTACTGGTTTATGGTGTAACACACGTATTATATTATGCCATATGTTAGGTATATATTTTATTCCAGAATTATTATAACCAATTTGGACAACGTTGTATTGGTTACGCGTTAGTTATATATTTTACCCCAGAATTGTTATAACCAATTTGGACAATATTGTATTGGTTATGTGTTAGTTATATATTTTATTCCCGAATTGTTATAATCAATTTGGACAATGTTGCATTGGTTATGTGTTGATTAAACAATATTATTCTAGGTGATTACCACTTTGGATAATGTTGTAGTGGTTAGTTGATTTTACCACTTTAGTGAAAATCATGCATAGCGTAATATTGGCTAATTGTGTAATAAACGTGTTATTTACTTAAATCAACTAATAAATTATAATTATTCATTAAAGGTGTTGTTATTATGATAATTAATTATATAATCTGTATTATAATTTAATCATATGTGTTCATCGATGTTACTGAGATCTAAAACCATTATCATTGTCTGCATTTAATTATTGTACCATTGGTAGATATGGTTTTGATGAGATTGATGTATATTAGAATCTTGTTCTATCGTTATTTTCCCGTTTTAGTCTTATTTTATATTTTCCCCCTTTTCAGGTGCATAAGGTTGAAATGAGCTTAACTCATATGTTTTAGAGCCTTGGAGAGTCAACCAAAGTTTTGGTGAGATGTTGGAGCAAAAAGGAAGCTGAAGCTGCAAAATTTCCTCTTAAATCGATCACACATGATTGATCCAGTAAGATTCCATTAATGGATAGAAGGCCGCGTTCTTATCCAAATAAATGCCTTTATCCTTATCTAAATAAATATCTCCCATCATTTGTTATCGATCCAACCCTTCCATGATCGATCACAGACTCTGTTCTTATCTTCATAAATATCTCAAGACTTTGTCCTTCTCCACATTAATATCTCCACCTACCCGTGATCGATCGAACCACTCTTGTGATCGATCGAACTTGCCTCGAAATATGTGAAAAACATAATTGAACCCTCAATTCAGGGGAGCTCATGGTGCAATCATTTGGGATCCGAATGCACGAGGTCATACCATTTTGAGGTCACAAAAGCTACCTATATGTAATGACCCGATTATTTTCTTTCCTTTCCCTTTTCTCCATTTTTACGGGTTAATTTTTTTTCGTTGAAATTTCCCTTCGGGTAACCTCACTCTTCGTCCTCACAGTTGGTTTTTTGACTTCATGTACTTCCATTCTTGTTGGTTTCCTTGAAAGGTGTAGCTTTACTTTTGGAGAAAAGCTCGCTGGTTATTTCTTTTTTCCGTAGGGGCGTGGATGAAGAGATTCTTCAGAAATAGTTTTGTTTCTTGGGGTATTTCTCATAAATATCTTTTGAAGATATTTTGATTTAGGGGTTTCTAAGAAAATATCTTTTGGATGATATTTTCATTTGGGGTCAATTGTGCAGTTATCCTTTTGTGTAGGGGCATTTGTGCAATTAATGAAAGTTAATTGCTAAGTGTCTCCTTGGGCGTTGAATTCTCGTACGGGATTCATTTGCACATTTCGTTGAATCGTGTACTCTTAGAATTGTCTTGCGGTCGAACCCTATAGTTTTTGGGTTTCCGACCACAGCTAGCGCAAAGCTTATTTAGGGCATATCT